GAAAATAATGAACTTTTAAAATTACAGACTTACTGGTTTCAGATGAAGCAAAAAATGTTTTTCTTTTGCAGTGTTAGCGTAAAATAAAAAAATCCTGGGACAAACTGTATAATATTAATTATTATTATTATGGCATTAAATTTACCACTTTGGGTTTTTTGCTTTGTTTAGAAGTAATCAAAATAAATATAAAAAACTGAAAAAACTAGCTATTTGTTAATAAAATTAAAAGTAAATCACAAAAATTTTGTTAAGGTAATGAAATACATAGGCATGCATTTTTTTTTCTCTAAAATTTGCTTACAAGTGTCATTTTGCAAATTATTATAATCACAATTTAATAATCTACACTCATTGAAGAAATTTTCAGAAAAAGACCGTTTCAACTTCTGAAATAAGGGTCTTTCGACATATTACCTGCTCTCCAACTAGTTAGTCGGAAACACTATTGCAACAAAGCGCAGTGTGAGCAAAAACTTAGACTGTCTATGATTGTAGAAAACACACATGCGAGACTCGTTGCTAACTTCAGCCGCTGAAGCTTATCGAAAAGGGCGAAAGGACCTAAACGCGTCCCTTTGTGATGATTATTTGAAACTGTCACGATTCCAGAGACAAGTGGATGAGAAAAATGGGCAAGAAAAATACACCGGAAAGACGATTCACGAAACGTGTTTGTTGCTTTTGAAGAGTAACGAAGTGAAGTTGGCTGAAAAGTTCCGAAACGATTTTAAAATCCCCGATAAGAGGTATTGGTGGTTGAGGATTCAAAGTTTGGCCCATTTGGAAGACTGGATTGAGTTGGAGAAATTCTCAAAATCGAGAAAATCCCCGATTGGTTACGCGCCTTTCGTCGATATGTGTCTCGAGAAGAATAACCGAAATGAAGCCTTGAAGTACCTACCCAAAGTCAGTGAAGATTTGAAAGTGAAATATTACATTAAAGCAGAGTAAGGGTTTGCGACTTGGCTACTGTTGGTTAAAACCAATTTCCCTACAGGTGTTTGGAAGATGCAGCGAAGATAGCGTTCGAGCAGAAGGACATCCAGAGCCTGCTTTATGTCCAAGCCAAGTGTCCCTCCAACTCGAGTTTGTCGGAAAAAGTTAACTCGTTTATTATGCAATTAGATAATAGGAAATAATTGTGATATAAATATATTTAGACAGATAAATAATAAAGTCCCTACTTGAGTATTTCACGCGTTTCACGCTTAAATCATTGATCGATTAGATAAATACTTTGGCCAGAGTTTGAGTTCACAATGGCTGGTAAGTTTTTTTCTCCAATTTTGTGTCTTTTTTGGCAAGAAATTTTTCTAGAGTTGCCTAAATCGGCAAAAAGTGAAGGTCAGGTGTCCCATCGCCCTCGTACAACTTCCGATCCTTTGCATCCTTACCGACTTAGACCATATCCCATTACACTACCCCCTGAATCCTCCCCTCATTGTGCTTTTCGACCCATACATCCCTTAAATAACGGCATCAACAGAGGTAAGCGCACAATTTCCGAAAAGTTACACTCAATAAACAAATTTTCACGTTGTTTAATTACAAGATAAGATTAAATTCAAGTGTTAACAAGCAAAATCTTGATTGTGTTGGGTAATGTTGCGAAAATTGATAATTGTGTAGTAAAACGCCACTCGAAAATGCGTATTTTTGATTCATAATTCATCAATTACAGATTGTCAACAAGAAAGTACCACCTAGGATTTAAATTTTTAGGAAAATTACGTTTTTCATGTTGTTTGTAACTAGAATTTTCAGAAGTAATTTTGAATGCCTAGAGTTGGCTACTCCTTGTTGTTGACAGTTGACGTTTCCTGTGAACTATCAATTGAAAACTGACAGGTGACTTAACCTAAATTTTGACACTGGTTACGATATCTTTTGTTTGTCATTACAAACCAACCTAACCAATTTTATGGCAACCTATTGACAAATGTCCCTAGAGAGTAATTTCTTGTTGATACAATAGATGCTTCAGATTTGTTGCCAACTTAAAACCCAATACTTTCCTAGCTTACTATTGGGTGGACACTTTCACCTACGGGGGAGTCCCCTCGACGGCCCTTTGGGGCGGCGAAGACATCGACGGCCACCAAATCTACGTGGGCAGAGCCTACTTCAAAAGCGACTGGATTCCAGCCAAGGTCATTCCAGGTCGTAGCAAGGCTTATGTGGCTTACGGCGGCAAGGAATACACCGTAGACCGTTTTCAGGTAATTAAGTTGGCAACACTGTCCAAAAAAACCTAATTGTGATCAGGTTTTATGCGAACAACGCTTCGATTGGGTGAAAACTACTGAAGATAAAATCCCCGAAGGGGCGGTAGAGGGAGGGAGAACCGTTGGCGGGGAACCCCTCTATATCGGTAGAGTTGAACACGAAGGGTCGCACACTGTCGGCAAAGTCGGTTTCTGCAATTTTTTCTAATTAAAATGAAGTGATTTTCGTTTTTAGGTTCATCCGAGTGACAAATGTTGTTCGATTCCGTTTGATGGGAAGGAACTGAGATTTTCGGAATACGAAATTTTGATTCTTCGGCCTTAATTGTGACCTTGTTTATTTTTTTGTATGTCAGTTTTAAGTAAATAAAAACGTTCTCGAGACTTGGGTTTGGTGTTCTTTTGTAAAGGTGAAAAATAAAGAAATTGCAATCAAAAAATAATTATAATCTAGAACAAATCAATTACTTCGTTAAAAAGTTATTAAAAGGGAATCTAAATACATAAGGTGAAAAGTGGTATAAAACTAAATATAGGAATTGCTCAATTTATATACTTGATTTGACATCTGTCAAAATTAACCTCAAAATTTTCAATAAATTCACGTTTTTTATGAAATTTCGCTGACGATCATGAAAAATGTTCGATATTTAATTTTCAGGTCTTCGACCTCCACTGCAGCACTCAGCTTCGCTTCGTGCCGCAAAATTCGGTCTCAGACCTGAAAAATAATTTGAAAGCGCACTTGCATTTTTCAAATAAAGTAATTTAAAATGGCGAAAACTGCATTTAATGCATTTGTTTTACTCAACATAAGTGTTGACAAACAAAATCTTGATTGATAGAAGCTTCACACTTGTAAAGCCCAACTGGGTAACCAAATTTTTTGCCAACTAATAAGACTTACACACTGTCGGCAAAGTAGGAGTCTGCAATTTTTTGTAATTTGTTTTTGGTTGATTTTGATTCTTTGGACCTTCTTATAAAAAACCTTATTTATTTGTACTGACATACAAAACTGTTTAAGTAAATAAAAACGTTCTAGACTTGAGTTTGTTGTTCTTTTACCTGTAATATCTCGTGATATTTGCCAAAGCATAAAGATAATAAGATAATGAGATTTATTAATATTCTGCGAAGTGGTGACAGTTTGACACAATGGAAGGTAAGTACCGGATTTTTTTTATTTTCCTTATTTTTAGAAAATATATTTGTAGAAGGCTACGGTTTTAAACCGGAATTTTCTCATTCCGCACCTTTAACCCCTCCTTCATATCCTCCAAATCAAAACAGTTTTTACCCTCCCTTACACCCCTCAGGGTATCCACCTCAAAACACCAGTTTTAGTCATTCTAGCCCTTCTAATAATCAAGGTAAGAACAAGTTTGGGGGTTTTACCGGTCTCTACTACCAACATAATGCTATAAATTTCATGTATGGTACAAAATTCTTAAAAAATTCACTTCTAGCCTTTCGTTGGGTCGACAGTTCGATCGCTTATGGGTCAGTACCACCGACAGCCCTCCAGGGTGGTATGGACGGTGATGGCCACCCCATTTACGTCGGTAGAGCCTACCATGATGGTGACTTGATCCCCGCTAAAGTGATTCCCGGAAAAAATGCCGCTTACGTCGCTCACAACGGCGAGGAGCACCTAGTCGAAAATTTCCAAGTAATTCTATACAGAGTGTTCCGTCTAAACCCCACATTAAAAGTATTGGGAGTTTGAATAATCATATTTGTTTGAAAATTGCTACATAGCCATAATGCATTAAGTCCTCCTAAATGAAAATATTTTCAAGATGGCGGCACTTCCGGTTATACCGGAACTCGGTATCAACTTTCTTATTTTAAATGGAAAGCTATATTTTTTACTGCGTTTTTGGATTAATCGGGTTATTTTAAGAGAGTTTTCATCAGCGTTCCCTATACCTAAATTTAGCCGTTTTTGAAATATTCCGAGTTTTTCAAAATTTTTTAGATCTGCACCTTCCACTTTAAAAATCGGTAACTCTGCTATTTTTTTAAATTTTGAATTCGTTTTTTGGCGTTTGAAAGAGAAAGTTTAGATCTTTCGTCCGGTGTCTTCAAATTTTGAAAAAAAAGATTAACAAACCCTAAAATTTTAAGGTTACTTTTGTAATAATTCAAATACCCATAACTCAATTTTTCCAAATAAAATACCCCAATTTTTATTTTACTAAATGGAAGAGAATTTAATTCTGCATTGATCTGTTTTAACATTCCCTATACCTAAATTTAATAATTTTTAAGTTATAGTGACTTTTTGTTAAGATTGTCGAAAATCTATTACGTTTTCGTATAGTTTGCTAAGGAAATAAAAAATGTCAAAATTGTTTCTCAATAAACGTCGATAGTGACTTATTATTTGACAAATAGTGCCAAAATATGGAGAGTCAAAGCTACCCAAACTTAGATTTAATTAATTTATTTTGTATTTATGGAGAGTGTAACAAAATTATGATGTCGTTCATTAAACAAAAATAAATTTTTCTCACTTGTTAGTTTTAAATAATGATCGCATCGTAAAACCTATCAATAATAATTAAGTTTGCATAACTTTGTTTCTTCATATTTTGGCTCTATTTCTCAAATAGTAATTTACTGTTGACGTTTGTTTAGAGAAAATTTTGACATTTTTGATTTCCATAGCAAACTATGTGAAAACGGGTGTGGCTAGTTATAAATTTTCTGTAGTCTTAAAAAAAATCCATAACTTGAAAATTATTAAATTTAGGTATAGGGAATACAGATCAATGCACAGTTAAATTCTCCTCTATTTAGTAAAATAAAAATTGGGGTATTTCATTAGAAAAAATTGCGTTATGAGTATTTGAATTATTACAAAAGTAACCTTAAAATTTTGAGATATGTTATTTTTTTTCAAAATTTGAAAATACCAGAAAAAGGATCTAAGCTTCCTCTTTCAAACGCCAAAAAAACGAATTCAAAATTTAAAAAAATGGCAGAGTTACCGATTTTTAAAATGGAAGGTGCAGATCCAAAATTTTTTGAAAAACTCAAAATATTACAAAAACGGCTAAATTTAGGTATAGGGAAAGCTGATGAAAACTCCCTTAAAATAACCCGATTAATCCAAAAACGCAGTAAAAAATATACCTTTCCATTTAAAATAAAAAAGTTGAGACCGACTTCCGGTATAAGCGGAAGTGCCGCCATCTTAAAAATATTTTTATTTAGGAGGACTTAATGCATTATGGCTATGTACCAACTTTCAAATAAATACGATTATTGGAACTCCCAACACTTCTAATGTGGGGTTTAGAGGGAACACCCTGCATATTTTTACAAATTTTAATTAATTAACTCAGGTTTTGTGTAAACAATATTTCGAATGGGTGCAATCGCACGCCGGCCATCTGCCACCAGGGGCGGTCCAAGGGGGCCACACCAGCGAAGGGGAACCGCTTTACATCGGTCGGGCCTATCACGAAGGTTCCCAAACAATTGGCAAAGTATTTAAATAAAAATATCTATTTTCTTTCCTTAATTAAATTTTCCAGATACACCCTAGCCATGGGGTCTGCTACATACCCTACGGTGGTGAGGAAATCGCCTGTCCCGAATATGAAACTTTAGTTCTTAGAATATAAACGTCATTCTTGTACACCACTATTGGTCATATCCGCATCTTCCTCCTCCTCTTCTTCCCCTTCCATTTCGTACAACCGCACCTTCCTTCGATTTTCAGCCAATACGATGCCCACACGTCGACTCCCCGACACTGCAAACTCCGCCCCCACCATCCCCTCCACACTTTTACACAGTTTGGGAAGCAAACACGAACCGTTCAAACGGGGGACATCGTCAACCCCACCACTGAAAATTACACTATCCGTATCCCCACCATCCACAAACTTATCCAAAACGCCACCTATCGGTATCTGACTTAAAACTGTAGTTTTAGCAACGGTGTTTTCTTGCAATAAAACCGACAACACTGTACTCGAATATAATTTAATATCGATCACGTGATAATTATCATCGGAATTGTCACGGGGGAAGTACAATCGGGCACATTTCACGAAACAATTGCCATCGTCGAAGTACACCTGCAAGCCGAGAATTGTCTCAGGTGGCTGTAAATAACAAAAAAGGATCGATTCTTTGTTTACGTTGATTTGTGACGTGCGTAATGACTCGCCCCCACAATGGAAACAATTGAACTCATGTATGAGATTAAATTCTGCACTGATTTTCTCTCTAGGTGTTGTGAAAATATCATCAATACTTTTTGTCAAATGTTTGTACTGTTGTATCAGCGACATCTCTTCGTAGTGTTTCAAAATAGAGTTATTTTTTTGAATGCATTGGTTTTGGGACGTAAAGTAAGTCCATTCGTTTCCGGTCATATCCGGTTGGATTGTTAAATTATTATCGCTCAAATATTGTCCCAATCTCTCCATTATGAAGCCCTTTTGTTTGCTATTTCGACTAATACGATCAAAATTTTGTAAAAATTCTGTAATATAAGCTAAATCTTGTTGTGTCATTTTCGGTATTTCGTTAGGTATTTGCTCATCCAAAACATGCATAATTGCGGTGTATAACCAACGGAAAAAAGCCTTGTAGTTGATGATTGAGTGGTTGATAATTTGCTGCATTTCGCTGCTTTTGATCAAGAAGGCGCCGTTTGACGAAATGGCGTCGGTAATGGCGTCCTCACCCAAACCCAAAACCTGCAATCAGTGTTGCCATTAAAGAAAAACATCAAATCCACCAGAAAATTTTGATAAATTTTCACCAGATTACGATTTGTATGGCAAAATTTCGCTTAAAAATCATGGCTCTTCGCCCTAATTCTATGGTTTTTCGGCTTATTTACTACAAAATTTTGCGAAATAATTGCGTTTCTAGCTGAAAAACGTACTAAAACGCTCGAAAAATACAAAAATAATATAATTTTATAGACTTAATTTAGTTTGTTTTAGCGAAATATGGCGAAAAACCTGTATTTTTGACCAAATTTTGTGTTTTCTCGGCTTATTTTTGTCTTATTTTGCTCAAAAACTTTTTTTTCAAACTTTTTGTGTTTTTATCTCTCAAGAAGACAAAAAACACCGTTTTTGGGCTACTTTGTTAAATTTGTGGCTTGTTTTTGACAAAATTTTGCGTTTCTAGCTGTAAAAGCATTCGAAAAAAAAACAAAATAAGTTGTTATTTTCGACTCTGTTTAGTAATATCTTGTAAAAAACAAAAAGAACTATTTTTAACCAATTTGGTGGTTTTCGATATTTTTTTCGAGAAAATTTTACGAAATAATCATGTTAAAGCCTAAGAGAGTTGGGTAAAAATATCATAACATAATTTTTTTAATAACAATTTAGTGATTTTTCACACGCTGTGATAAACTCTCGTGAAAAAACAGTTTTCACTTTAAAAATCTGCTTGAACTTTCGAAAAATGATGAATATAATTATATCATTTTCGGCCTAATCCTGCGTTTTTTTGGCTTGTTTTTAACAAAATTTTGCGAAATAATTGCGTTTCTAACTGAAAAGCGTGCTAAAACTCCCAAGAAACCCAAAATTAATGTAACTTTCGATTTAATTCGTTGATTTTTCAGTTCGTTTTAACGAAATCAATCTCGCAAAAAATCTGAGATATGTTTGTCTTATTTTGCTCAAAAATCGAGTGAAACAAACAAAATAACATCAATATCAATTGTTTTTGTGACTTTTAAGCGTTGTTTAAAAACGAAGTAAGTCGAGTGAAGCAAGCTAAAAATAATATCAATTTCGATTTAATTTTGTAATTTTTTTGCCTGCTTCAACGAAATTTTTAGAATTCCCTTTGCTTTTATCTCAAAAACGTGCTGAAACACTTGAAAATAGCAAAAATAACTCCGTTTTTTGGTCGAATTTGTTGAATCTTTGGCTTATTTTTAGTGAAATTTTGCGAAATAATTGTGTTTCTAGCTAAAAAAGCATTCGAAAAAAAAAACAAAAATAAGTTGTCAATTTTCGACTCTATTTAGTAATATCTTGTAAAAAACAAATAGAACTATTTTTAACAAATTTGGCGATTATTAG